TTTTTTTTTTTTTTTTTTTTTTTTGAGACAGGGTCTTGCTGTGTCACTCAAGCTTGAGTGCAGTGGTACAATCACAGCTCACTGAAGCCTCAACTCTTGGGTTCAAGTGATCCTCCCACCTCAGCCTCCCAAGTAGCTAGGACTACAGGCATGCACCACCATGCCCAGCTAATTTTTAAAGTTTTTTTGGTAGAGACAGGGTCTCATGATGTTGCCCAGACTAGTCTCGAACTTCTGGCCTCAAGCAATCCTCCTTACTTGGCCTCCCAAAGTGCTGGATTTACAGGCATGGGCCACCTCACCTGGTCTAGGATATCTGTTTTTTAATGAACAAATTGGAAAGGAATTCCTTACTTTCAATATTTTAATGAGAATATCTCAAGTTCAATGAAGGATAAATGTTGGTGGAAGGCATTTCTATATTCATTATGCCCATAGCCTTTAGTATGATTTATCTAAAAAGAAATATTAAATATGATAATAAAAGAAAGTTTACTGGCTTAAAATGACAACCATTTTATTATATCTCATGTTTTTGTGGGTCAGAAATTTGGGCAGGGGCTCAGCTGGTCAATTCTTTCATTCTACGTGGCATCAGTTGATGTTACCAAGTCACTCAGTGGCATTTAGCTGGTGGCTGGTCTGGTGGATCCAAAATTTCACTCAAATGTCTGGTATCTTGGCGGATGTCAAGAAGACAGGGTTCAGCAGGTGCCTCTCTCTCTCTACGTAGTTTCAGGGCCTCTTCATGTGTTCTCTTCAGCACAGTAGCCAGACTCTGCAACATGACAGTTCTCTCTTTTCATGAGATGAAGTAACTCTACCAGTAAAGTCTGAGTCAAGAAACCAGCACAGCAGTACATCTACCATATTCTACGGGGCGAAGCAGTCACAGAGTCTGCCTATATACAACAGAGGGATGTAAATTCCACCTGTTGATTGAAAGAGTGTCAAATTGCTGCACTCTTACATGACCATTTCATAAATAAAAAAATTAAAGCACAGAGCAGTTAAGTTTCTTGTCTAGTATGACACAAAGTGATGGGATAGGGATGATGGTAAGTATCTTTCTCATTCTTATAACAGGATTAGTTTTTAGAACAAATGTGCTGAAGTTTCAGGTTTGAGTGATGATGGAATACAATACATTATCACACTCTTTTAATGGTATAAAATCTCTCATGCCAAGTCAGTTGAATGTATGGAGCAAAAGAGATTAATTACTACATTCATAGAATGTTCTATTACACAGAAGTTGAAAAGACTTTCTTAGATTTTTACATTATGAATTTTCAGATGATGAGTAAGGTGTGAATGTTGCCTAAAGGCCTTCTTACATTCCTTGCATTCATAGGGTTTCTCACCAGAATGAATTCTCAGATGTTGAATAAGGGATGAATTAAGCCTAAAGGCCTTCCTACATTCCTTACACTCAAAGGGTTTTTCACCAGTATGAATGCTCTGATGTAGAGTAAGTTTTTGGCGCAATCTAAAGGCCTTGCCACATTCCTTACATTTATAGGGTTTCTCACCAATATGAATACTCTGATGCTGTGTGAGTTGTGAAAGTAGTCTAAAGGCCTTCCCGCATTCCTTACAGTCATAGGGCTTAACACCAATATGAATACTCTGATGTGAAATAAGTTGTGAGTAGCGACTAAAGGCTTTCCAGCATTCCTTACATTCATAAGGTTTTTCACCAGTATGAATTCTGTGATGCAGAATAAGATGATAACCACGGCTGAAAGTCTTCCCACATTCCTTACATTCATAGGGCTTCTCACCAGTGTGAATTCTCTGATGCAGTGTTAGTTGTTGCCGCACTCTAAAGGCCTTTCCGCATTCCTTACATTCATAGGGTTTCTCACCAGTATGAAGTTTGTGATGTACTCTAAGACCAGAGCCACACAAAAAGGCCTTCCCACATTCTTTGCACTCATAGAGCCTGTCAGCACTATTAAGCTTCTGATGCCGAGTCAGGTGTGCGTACTGTCTAAAGGCCTTTCCACACTCTTTACACACATAGGGTTTCTCACCAGTATGAATCCTCTGATGCAGAGTAAGTTGTCCTCGTACCCTAAAAGCCTTCCCACATTCTTTACATTCATAGGGCTTCTCACCAATATGCATTTTCTGATGTACTCTAAGATCTGCACCACATATGAAAGCTTCCCCACATTCCTTACATTCATAGAGTTTTTCACCAGAATGAAGTCTCTGATGTCGAGTAAGGTGTGCAGTCTGTCTGAAGGCCATCCCACACTCCTTACATTCATAGGGTTTTTCACCAGTATGAATTCTGTGATGAAAAGTAAGCTGTTGGCGCACTCTGAATGCCTTCCCACATTCCTTACATTCATAGGGTTTATCGACAAAATGAAGTCTCTGATGTGAAGTAACAGATGTGCGTTTCTGGTAAGAGGACACCTTTTCAGATGGCATTTTCACACTACTGAAGTATCCTTCTTGAGGTCTCTCCTGTCCTTCCATTTTTCCTGTGGATTCCCAATCATGTTTTAAAATGAGACCCTTAAGGCCATGGTTTTTAATTCTTTCCATTATCTTCCACGGGGATAAATTTATTTCATAAGTGTCATTTTCTAAAGATAACTTCTTGGTTTCATACTTGGTCTCCCAATCTAAAATGAAACAAGAAAGCAAACACATGCTGTTTTCTTTTACTAAAAGAAGCAACATTTCTAATGTAGAAATAAAAGACAACAAAAGTAATCCTCAACCAAACTCTAAAATTGGTTATACAATTTGGAAAGAAAAAAAAAAGCCAAAGGGAACATCAGGAAAAATGAGAGTTCATACAAAATAGCAAGATTGGT